CCCCGCCATTCCCCCCCCGCCCAGTCCTCCTGCAAGTCCTCCCGCTGCCATGCCCATGCCACCCACCATCCCTGCTCCCACGCCTACCGCTCCCATACCCGAGCTTCCGGGCACGAGCGTTTTCGCCCCGGCAACACCACGCCCGGTCCCGCTCCCCATAGCTCTGCCCATGCTCACGGGCATCGTCTTGTCCGTTTTCTCTTTCTCGATCAGAGAGCTGGACTCCCCAAAATTGATACCAAGACCGGAGAGCGGGTTCTCCGTTGCCGCTTTCAAATTGAGGTTAACTAGCCCTGTGCTCAGAGTTGAAGCAAGTAAAGCTGATTGTTTCCTTGCCGAGCCTGACCCCACGCTTCCGGTGCTGGTAGGTGGCGTGGAGTTCAGCCCTGTGGTAGCCGGCATAGCGGATTCGAACGCAGAGAGGCCGAAGGGATCGACACCCCCCCCTTGCGACGGCTGTGGCCTGGCGTCGCCCATAGGAGCGACGCCTGTGCGACCGACCGAGGACGGCCCCGATGACATGGGCCCGGGAGCGCCGAACGGATCCACGGGCCCCGCAGACATGCCCAACGGAGTGACACCCGTGCGACCCACAGAGGACGGACCGGATGATGGCGGTAAACCGGCAGCAAACGGATCCCCGGGAGCCGCCGCAGACATGCCCAAAGGAGTGACACCCGTGCGACCACCTGACAAGGGGCCCGATGACGGCGGGCCGCCGGCGGAAAACGGATCCGCGCCGTAAGGATCTGCAGCAGCAGCGGCAGCTCCAGCTCCCCCTGTCGTAGGCGCAGAGAAAGGATCCGCACCCATGCTGCCTGGCGGCGGCCGTTGGCCTGGAGGAGCGGCGAACGGGTCCGCCACACCGCTTCGGCCGCCGCCCCCGAAGAGGTCCGCGGAAGAGGCAAGCCCTTCCCCACCACCTGCTCCAGTTGCCGCAGCGCTTCCCCCTACTCCGCCGCTCGCGTTCGACGTTGCGTCAAACGCGCTGAACGCGCTTCCTCCGAAAGCCGCGTCGAAACCGCTCACGCCGCCATCACCTGAAGGACCGGCAGCGGCCGGCGGAGAGTCGAATGAAGCAGCGAAGCCGTCAACAACACCGCCTCCTCCACCGAAGAGGCTTGCATCTCCGCCGCCTTCCGCACGTCCATTCCCACCGAATGGATCGGCGGACCCCGTCGCTCCCGCGCCTGGAACAGGCGTCGCTTGAAACTGGAACCCCCCAAACAAATCCTCGGCAGCATTAGGAACCCCTGCTGGCCCCTTACTTCCGCCAGCGGAGCTGCCATTCGCCGCTCCCAAGGAGGAAGTTCCCCTAAAGAAGTCCTCTTCCTCTCCCCCACCCTCGGGTGCTCTTCCGCGAGGGTCAAAATCGAACTCGCCTCCATCACCCCGTTCATTGGCGAAAAACGACCCGCCACCGTCGGGTCGCCCCCCGGCCGTCTGACCGCCTTGTCCTCTCTGAGCACGTGCCACGGCGGCCGCTAGAGATCCTCCTCCTCCTCCTCCTCCTCCCTCCTTGCCGGAACCCCCTTCGTGATCGTCTACCCATCCGCCGCCGCCCCCGCCTCCGCCTCTACCTCCAGCACCATCTCCGCCCCGCACCTCATCATAACTGGGAGGAGGTCGCGATCCCGGGGCCCCTTCATCGTCGTACCGGTCTCCATAGCGGTCTCCCCCTCTTCTTTCCGTGTCGCGGTCTCGTTCGCGATCGCGGTCCCCGAAGCCGCCACGGCTTGCCCCTCTGTCCCGATCGTCGTGTTCGTCATCCTTCCGATATTTCTCGCCGCCTTCTCCGTACCGGTCCCCACCGCTTCCCTTATCGAACCGGTCTCGATCCCGATCCCCTTGCCGCTCGCCATAGCCCGGGTAGTACCGGTCCTCGTCGCGGTCGTTTCCTCCATATCGGTCGGCCGACCCGTACGTTCCCGGGCGATGAATGCCACTCCCCGAACCCCTGTATTTCTCCCGATTCGAGGCTGCCTTTTGGCGCGCTTCGCGGATTTTCTCTCTATCGCTCACTAAGGAGATCACCGCCTGGGCCTTCTTACGCACATTCATTCCCTGGTCTTTACCGCTGGACTCCACGTACTGAAAGTCGACAAGTGTCTTGATCTGATACAAGTGCTCTCTCAATTCGTCGATCACTCGCTCCGCCCCATGTGCCACCATGTACTCCAGCACCGTCAGCGATTTGTACACGTGTCGCCAGTTCTTCCCCGTGTCGTTCAGCCGCCTCCAGAGAATCGCCATAATCATCTGATACTCGCCGAAATTACGGGTGGCTTGAGCGATGTCTGCCATCAAGGCGCCATGCGGTCCCCATGGTTCATTGCTCGTCGCTTCTAAAACCTTCTGTTCGATTTCCGGCACATTCAAGACCTTTTTGTTCACCTCTCGCTTGATTTGTCGCACCGTCTGATCGAAAACCTTCACAAAATCCATGATTCACGGCGGTGCACGTGGATGTATCTTCTTCCTCCGTACTCCCCTCGCTCCCCCCGCTTTTCACCGTCGTTCCCTCTTCCCTCCACTCTCCCTCCTCCCCTTCCTTTCTCTTCTCCACCCCTCCCCCCCCCGCCCCCCCACTATGTTGGTCCTTACCCTAAGACGTCACAAGACTCAAGACTCCAACACACGGCATTCAACGCGCTCCACATGTCACTTCCTGACCCGAAAACCACGAAACGTATGCTTCGTCCAACACTCACTCGCAGTCGGCATGCATTCACCTTTCCTTGCCAACGTCATCCCTGATTGTGTGTTCCCTGCTTGGATTTTCGCACGCCACCATCCCTACCTTGCCTGCCGTTTACGGCGCCGACGCGTAGTCACCGTCTTCCTCCCACATCAGCCTCCTCACCTCTCTTTCCCTCTCCTCTTATACTCCCCTCGCGCCTCGTCACCTCCCTCCTCCCACTGCTTACGCTTCGCGCAAGCCCCAGCAAACCCTGGGACGGCCCTCCGTTCGCTTCGGAGTGAAGGGGGCCTGAACACCCCAACTAGTCCGCCAAGACGACAACGAAAACCTACCCTACAGGTCGATGGACGCTCACGGCTCGACGACAGAGGGTCACGAAAAGACAACGTTCGGCATGGGCGTTTCAGTGCCAATGATAGATATCCAAGACACGTGTCACGCAACAGAAAACAAGGCAAGCATACTTCGCTCGTCTTCCGCAGCCTCGCCCCTGCCCCTCCTCGTCCTCCACTTTGCTCTTGGCGCAAAACAGAGACTATTGAAGGTGTCCCGGAGAAAGAAACTCTTCCTAATGCCCCTGCACCATCAAGAAGGACGGAGAGACTATGACGTGTCCTGTGCGCGCTCGATGGCCGCCACAACACGTGGCGTGCGGAGGCATAAAAGCCTTTCCGCGTGGCGCACGGACAGCGACCACCAACTCTTTGCTCGCTCGATCGACTGGTGGGTGATTCCACATTCCTCTTGGCGACACTTTCCCCTCTCTTCTCCGCCCCGGCGCGGGCAGCGGCGATATTGACCGGCGCGGAGCGGAGGCCGAACAGCGCCTTCCGCTTCCAATACAGCTTTCCAGCTCTCGGCCTCGCTTTGTTTCTTTCTTAGCGGACGCCTTTGCATACGTCCCTGCCTCCCGACTGCCTTCCCTTTCCCTTCACGTTTCTTCCTAAAAAGGAAAAAGCAAATCGTACCCTAGTCATTCATGACGACCGTCTAGCCTGCGGCTCTGCTGGGAATGTGCAGCAGGGGTTCTGTAGGGAAAGGCGAAGAAAGGGCAGACTCCAAGAGGGGGATCCTGTCCGCTGAACCATCACAGCAAAACCCCCCGCGACAAGTAAACAGCTGTCGCCAATTGGATACATCGGTACAGTCCCAAGAAGCCACCAGAACCACCCACAATACATCGGTGCCCGCGTTCCACAACACCAGCTAATAAATATAATATATACGGATACGAAGATTCATCCTAATACATTTACATATACATATACATATATCAAATATGTAAGGAAACACGGGCTTGACCGTGGATTGCAAGAATCCACGGCTCTTGCAATCCACTGTTCTATACCATTTACAATTTGCATATACAATACAAATATCTCGAAAATCGAAAAATAGGCTACCCACTGACCCTTCTGAAAAAACAAAGATCAGCGACTCACAGAGCCCTCTGGCCCCTATGCACCCCAGCTTTACTATGACTGTGTGCCCCGCAGCCTGGAGGGAGCGAGGACCAATGTTGCAGAAACAGAGGCGCGAAGCAGGCTCCCCTTTTTTTCAGGCTGGCTACATGCCGGGATAAGCGAGAAATAGTTGTGAATCTGTGGTCTAAGAACGGCGGTTTTACTGAAGCACAGACAGACTGTGTGCATGTTCTTTTTTTTTTTTTTTAAAGTCCTATGCATTTTCGAAAGTGTTGGTGTGAGTATGCCTTGAGAACGCCGCATTCGACCACCAATAGCCGCCAGATGCATTTTGAAAAGTGTTGCACTCGTCTTTCATTGTTGTTGTTGTTGTTGTTTCCCTCTTTTTCGTCCATCCACTCGTTCGTTGGCTGTCGACTAACGGCTGATCCTTCGCCCCTCCCGAACGCCCCCCATTGCCTCTATGTTGCCTCTCAATTTGTGGAACTCCGAAGTTCCATGACCTGAATAAGAAACCCCTGGGCGCCGTCCAAAACGACCACCTCACGACCTCTATAAGCTATTACTGGTCCTTCACTATTTTCCTCTGCTAGGACCGCCTCAACGACCGGTCCAACTTATGACAAGGTCCGCACCCTTCGACTTTATTTTCCCACCCCCTCTAGGCCTATTTAAATCCTAAAAAGGTCGTCGATGTTACCCGATCAGGAAAGCCGAAAAGCAATCTGGTATAGCGCAGCATCCTGGTTGTGAACTGAATAATACCATCACAGTCCCTAGCACTAGAAAGGATGTTAACCTTGGTAGTTGGAGGGTGATAAACCAGGGCTGGCAAAGAGGTCACATTTGACCCCCAGCAACACCTCCCAACACGACCACTGAGGCTCGCGCCCCATAATAAATGTCATCCTTTATTACACCACCGTAGCACGCAACAGCCCGTGCATTTTGCATCCATATAGGAGTACAAAGAGGTGGTGTTCAAGACCAATAATGACCTAATGGCAGCTTGGACCGCCAGCAAAAAAAAATTACGGTTAGCATCCTAACTAGTGAATTGCAATCACACTGATTCAGGCGAGCAAGAATGGAAAGGCGGGCCAAACGTCAACACGATTGGCCTTGGGGAAAAAAAAAAAGATTAACGGACACAATGCTGAATTTGGGAGAGAGAGTTAAAAGTCTGATAAATTTTCGCGGACTAAATGCAACCATTGCTCACCGAATCAGCAAAATCAAAGTTTCATTCCGTTTGGTCTTATTTTTTTTCTTTCTCGCAATAATCTACCATACCCTTTATTCACCTCCTCCTCCCCCTTTTTATTATAGTGCCCTCTCAACGATCAGTAAGCTTAATTGGTTTGACATACAAGTAACCATAGGGAACATACTGTCTTGTGAATGATTTGCATGGGTAAATACGTGGTCCTCATGCATCTCTTGTAACTAGGTCTTCATACAAATCAACAAAGAAAACAAACACTACTAGCAATATGTCAATCCGATTCAATAACTTTTTGCACATTAATTTCTCACAAAACTTTTATCCCGTTTCAAAAATGAATTATTATTCTTATTGGATTTATTGGGAATTACCGCTTTCACTATTGACAGGCTTTATACGTTGGTTAAACTTGTGGTCGAGAGTGTGAGTTGTTCTTCTTTCAATTTATGTGAGTGTGAACGTACAATACAGTGGATCTAACTGCTATTTTTTTTTCTTTTCAATAACATAACAATTTAACCAAACACTCGAAGCCTTTGGGGGAGTTGCAGGTTTTCATGAAGTTTCTTAAGACATTATTCAAGGTTTAATGAGGTGAAGGACAAAAAAGAATAAAAATAAAAATAACGGAGATAAAAGATGTGGACATAGCACATGAGATTGAGGAAACTATTATGGAGCACGCAACAATAGTTGAACATACGAAGGAAACAATAAATATTAAATCTGCATCAACGGAGTACCAAGGGAGTCAAAAAACACATAAACAATGGACAAGTACCCAAGGTGAAAATTGGTGAAGTAACAATTGGAACAAGATGATGATTAGGAGGAACACAAAGCGGTCAAAATATACTACCAATATGTTATAAATGTGGGCAACCACTGCCATAATATTACAGTACCTGCAACATGACAAGAGATCAAATACTTGCACAACAGGGTTGAAAAAACGTTAACCAAAGTGAACAATCTGATGAAATATCTATTAGAGAGAGAGGGGAACAAACAATGATGAGAAAAAAAACAGCCGTGAAGAAATATATGAGCATAAAATAAGGAAAAAAACAAAACAAAAGGGACAAAAACCTTTAATAACAAGGTTAGGGAAACGCCAACAAGAGTGAATGATATGATGAAATATCATATGGATGATTAAAATAACAAAAAGAAAGGAATCAAATAAGTAATTAAAAAATAAACGAAAAAAAAAAATAACGAAAAGAATAAGCAAAAAAATAATAATAATAAAGTCGACCACAAAATTTTATTATGATCGACTTTCACTTTCGACGAGATTTGTGTATTGGTCGAAATTATAGTCGAAAGTATGAGTTATGCTTCTTCCAGTTCACATGAGGTGCGAATATGCAATGCAGCAGATCTAACTGTTATTTATTGTATTTCTAACAACATAAGAATTTCACAAATTCGATAAAAATATTACATTTTTTGTAAAACTACAAGTTTATATATAAAATCTTAAGGTATTGTTATAAACTCAACCACCAAAACGAAAATAAACGATAAAAAATTAGTGTTGTTAAAAAATATTAATAAATAACATATTGAAGATAAAAAAGGCAGACACAACAAATAAAACTAAGTGCCTATTGTAAAACTACAAGTTTAAAGTATTATTATACACTTAAACAACTAAATGAAAATAAATCATAAACAATTAGTATTGTTAACAAAGATTAACCTATTGAAGATAAGAAAGGTGGACACAACAAATAATAACCATGTGACGACCCAAGAGAAAACATAAATTGCATTTCATGATAAAACAACGAAAAATAATATAAGTTGTGAAAAAACACCGCCAATATATTATGCATGATGGGAATTATATCATTACAGAAATATGTGTTCAAACATTAGATAATCTATAACAAAAAGCGCAACAATAATTAAAAAAAAAAACTTCGTACAAATTTGAAAGAACGTTGCGAAGAGCAAACATTCTGGCTAAATATTCAAAAAATAATAATAATAAATATACTAAAAATGATTGTGAGAACAAAAAGGAAACACGAACGTACGAGAGAAAGAAAAAATATAAAATAAGGTGTTAAGGAATAAATATGAAAAAAAAACGATGCCAATATATTTTCATATTGAATTTTTATGGAGAGTGATTTAAAAAAAAAAAAAATATCTTGATCAAAATTTTATCCCTTAGGCAACATTAGTCGTAGGGGGGAGGTTGAAGACGCTTTGCACGCCGGATTCGGATCGAAGTTTTGGTGAGGGGCGGTGGATGAAGGCGATCAAGGGTGGGAGAGTGTGCAAAGGGGTGCACGTAACGAAATGTTCAGTGCGCCATAAAATGAGAGTGTGCGCCCCGCGGACGGAACACACGGTTGACATTGATGCGAACAAACATCTAGGAGGCGAACCATATAGGATGCAGGTGACTTTTTTTTTTCGGTTGACCGTTGTTTTGTGTCTCTCTTCTCCATTTTTTGTTTTTCGTGCTTGTCGTTTTGTGTCGCCTCCTTTTTTTTTTTTTTTTTCTCGTTAGGCCATTGCTGTTTCTGCACAAGAACATCTTAAGGACAAACCATCCGAAATACATCGTGATGTCACCCTTTGCATTTATGATTTTAACGAGTGTAGCCCACATCGCCCACACTGGCCACATAGCTAGTTATGTTAAAAGTGTAAACTATGTTTTTTTGTTTATAAGATGTATAAAATTACAATAGCATGAATCCGCTTGCTATTACTTTATTTATTTTAATATATTACACAGTGAAACTTTGTATCTCAAAATTAATATTGAAAGATATAAAACAGGAGTATACAGTACAAATCATATTTACAATACGTAATAAGGTAACTTAAGAAAATAAAAGGCAACAAACAAATGCAAACCTTCTATAACAATCATAATTTAATTTAATTTTTTATTTTAATATACTTCTTTCCAATACTAACAATAAAAAATATTTTTCTATAATTTAAATAAACATTGCATATTATTTTCACTTGTCGTTCTAAAGTTTTAAAGATTTTTTTTTTTACAATGATAATAATAATTGTTTATTGTTTTAAACGTATGATTTGATGCAATTCATTATTTTATTTTATTTTTATAACGGTGTGTTGTCACGGTGTC